ACTAGTGCGCTGAGCGGACAAACAGCTGATCAGCTGTTTGTCGGCTCAGCGCGGCAGCCATGTAAATGTAAATGAAGCCGCGATCATTTAAATCGCGGCTTCATTTGCCTTTGCCAAAACAACAAATCTACATGGCTCCGGTGACGGAGCCATGTAATTTAGACGTACCCCTAGAGAGGAGGCATTTTGCTACACTCCCACCGTGATCAGGAATGGGCTGGCCGGCCACATTTTTGGCTGCACCCTTTTGGGAGCACTTCTCTAGGCAACCAAGCTGGACAACCTATTGCTGGTGGGGATGGCACTACTATCATCACCGCCCTCCCCATGGGGGCATAAAAATCCCATCCAGGACTGTCCTTTGAAAGTGCAGCTGGCCAAGATTTGATCATCTGATGTCAGGAGATCTCAAAGCACTTTACAACATGTCGGCACCATCTCCCCCCTGTTTTACAGATGGAAGGAGCAGATACTTGCCCCAGGTCACCCTGCAGGCCAGTGACAGAGCTGGGAAGGGAATCTAGGTCTCCCAAGGCCCAGGCCAGTGTTCTAAGCACTAGGCAGCACTGCTTCCATTTAAACCAAGCTGCTGGAGTAAATCACCAAATGACGTTCATGCAGCCAAGCCTGCCTGCCTCTCCACCCAGTCCAAGCCACCAGCAATTTGGCAGAGAAATTCTCACTGGGGAACAGGACTTGTACTCACCTGGGTCGGGAGCAATGCACTCGCACTTGTACATGGTCACATAGTCTGGCTTGAAGTCTGCATTGATGGGGTAATACTTGAAGGCGCCAATCATCTTCTTGATAGCGTCGTAGATGAAGATAAAGCTGATGAGGGTGGAGAACCCCTCCACCAGCAATTTGGCAGAGAAATTCTCACTGGGGAACAGGACTTGTACTCACCTGGGTCGGGAGCAATGCACTCGCACTTGTACATGGTCACATAGTCTGGCTTGAAGTCTGCATTGATGGGGTAATACTTGAAGGCGCCAATCATCTTCTTGATAGCGTCGTAGATGAAGATAAAGCTGATGAGGGTGGAGAACCCCTCCTCCGTGAAGCGGGTGATGTACTTTATAATGAAGCTGGCGTCTGTGGCCACCAGGATAAGGCACTGCAGAGCGGAGTGCAAGCCGATCCACAAGCGGAACTCCATGTAGTCGATCCCGTTGCCCCTGGAATTGAGCACAACAGGTCAGAGCAAAACAACAGTCGGAGAACAGAGATCCAGGGATGGGGAGCAGGTGGAAAGTGTCACCATATCTGATGTCCAGGGAAGGGAAGAAAAGTCCTGGTCAGAGGGGTCCTTACACACAAATAATAATGGCCACCGTCTTGGACAAAGACAGGGACCAAAGAGGAAGCAGTATCTGTGTATTTATGGGTATGTCTAAACTACATGCCTCCGTCGACGGAGGCATGTAGATTAGCCAGATCGGCAGAGGGAAATGAAGCCGCGATTA